CCTGGAACTCTAAACCCTGAACCCTGGAACCCTAAACCGTGCAAACCCTACACCCTAAACCCTAAAACCCTAAAACCCTAAACCCCAAACCCTGAACCCCAAAGCGTACACCCTAGAACCCTAAACCCAAAACCCTAGAACCCTAAACCCTAAAACCCTGTAGAACCCTAAACCCCAAACCCTGAACCCTAAACCCTAAACCCTAGAACCCTAAACCCCAAACCCTGAACCCCAAAGCCTACACCCTAGAACCCTAAACCCTAAACCCTACAACCCTAAACCCTAAACCCGGAACCCTTGAAAACCCCTGAAAAACCCTCCGGAGCTGACCTCCGGGTCTCGCAAGGCATGGCTCCAACCGGTAAACGTCGCCCTGACCCGGAGACCCAGAAAAGTCGGGAGGATCGGTTTAGGGGCTAGGGTTTAGGGGCTTAGGGTTCAGGGTTTAGGGTTTAGGGCTTAGGGTTTAGGGCCTAGGGTTTAGGGTTTAGGGCTTAGGGTTTAGGGTTTAGGGTTTAGGAAACTAGATGCCCTAGTATGGGACCCTAACTGGTAAAGGATACTTTCTGGGTACTTTTTGGATCCTCCCGGGGGCCTGGGCTCGTGCCCAACACCCCCTGAATAAGGAGTACACACAGGGTTCAGGCTTTAGGGTGGAGGGTTTAGGATTTAGGGTTCAGGGTTTCAGGTTTCAGGTTTTAGGGTTTAGGGTTTGGTGTTTTAGGGTTGAGGGTTTGGGCTTTAGGACTTTGTTAGAGCCCAAGACCCCTTAAGTAAGGACCTTAAGTTATAAGGCCTCATTTTATGGTCTAATGAAGCGTTATTCCTAGGAAAGAAAGGAAGCTTAAGCGGGCGTTTTGGGTTTAGGCTGAGGGCCCTTCTAAGGGTTTAGTGTTTAGGGCTTAGGGGGTGGAGGGTTCATGGAATTTTGGGTTAAGGCGTTTTTGGGGTTTAGTGGTGGCGTCTTGAGGTTCCTGGTGTCGGGCTAGGGGTGGTTCATTTGGGGAGCGCCAGAGTGCGGCTACTTTAAACGCATCAGCAATGTGGGGCTTCAGAATCCCACGATGCTTTACATTTTCAGATGTTCAGCGCTCTATGGCTTTCGGGTTCTGCGGTCTAGAGTCTAGAGTGCAAGCACCAAGAGAGTCTGCGAGGATTTATCTAAACCTCAACCCTAAACCCTAAACTCGGAAGACAAGCAAACGAAAAGTTGAAATCCCTAGCGAAGAAACCACGCTCCGACAAAATAACCAGCCACCGAAGAGCCTATAATCTAGCCCTCACAAGTCGAATCGAGTTTGCTTGTTTTGGGCCGTATAATTTAGACTGGCGAACATCAGGAATGATACTAGTAGTTATCCAGGACTCTATATCGAAATCTTATAAACCCAGTGGACCCCTGAAAGGAAACCCTGGTAGGAACCCAAGGAACCCCGAAAGGAACCCCAAAAGCAACCCTAAAAGAACCCCCAACAAGGAATCTGTAAAGGAACCCGAAACCCCGAACCCCGAAAAGCCTTCAAGGAACGCTCACACGCCTCAGGAAGGTTTGCAGGGACTCCCGATGCATCGCCAAGGCATCCGAAGGCACGAAGAGGACTTGCGAGTAGCCAAGGGTCACCTGGGCTGTTCGGTTTAGGGTTTACGATCTTGTTTGCCTCGGAACTTACCCACTAGTCACCACAAAAGAGAAAACCATTTTGTTTACTAAAAGATCCTCCTGGACCCCACACCCTCAACCGTAAACCCTCATGGTACCTTAAATGTCAGTAGAAGCCCAAAAGTTGGAAACCCAACAGCCTCAATCCCTAAGACTAATGTGTAAGCAATCCCAGCAGTAGTTGTCTTCAATCCGGTTTCCAACTTTTTGAGGTTTACCATAAGCTGAGCCCCAGTCACGCCTGGAAAGGCAATGCCTTGGAGTGGTATGACCTCCGGTTCCGAGCCCAACCTGCGTTTTCGAGGTTTCGGGCGGGGTGTAAGGGTTCAGAGTTTGGGGTTTTGAGCTTTGGGTTTAACATCTAAGTTACAACAAATTGAAAACCATAGGTTCCTATCATGGAACTTAGACTACGGTCTTTAGACCCAATAAGCCCTACAAGCCCTACAAACTTGAAAAATCCTGCGAGCCCTATAGTCTCTAAAAGCAGTATGAATTCTGAAAGCTAGAGCCCAGCAACTCCTGCCCCAGTCGCAGGGTCTCGGTGACGTCATACGCCTGTGCCGCATCGACACCTCTAGGGCCCCCAAAACGGGCACGTGAGCAAAAGTTAGGGCTTTGGGTTTGGGGTTTAGGGATCCCGTAGACACCCCCTAATAATGGAGCCCAAACTGGTAGGGAAAACCTCAACCCTAAACCTTAAACCCCAAACCGTAAGCCCTGAACTGCCCTTTTTTGGGGCCCCGGACCTCCCTCCCTGAGCTCGCTGAGCTTCTGGGTTCGGGGCACGTCCAAGACGTCGGCTCCCGGAAGAATCCGCTTCAGCAAGTCAATGGTATCCTCGGCTCTTCCCAGCGAGCCCCGGAGGGTGTAGGGTTTAGGGTCTATCCCTTAACTCAGGAATATACCTTCCACTATACGTGCCTTCATATTCCGATTTAAGCTATTATATTCAGTGATTCAAGGGTATTGGGCTCTCTGGGTCTTGCTGAGGAGCTTAACCATGATACATACATATACATACGTATACATATACATATCTGTATATATATATATATATATGTAGTCTTATTATATTGTATTATATATATATATATATGCTCGC